GTCTGAGGGAGGAGGGGCTGGGGTCTGAGGGAGGAGGGCAGGGCTCAGCACAGGTGCCCCAGTCCCTGCCTCCAGGTGCTCCGAGGTCTGGAGCAGCAGGTGAGAAGTTGAGACCGAAACCAGAGCCTCCACCCTAGTTCTGGGTCCAGCGCCTCCTTCCTCCTTCTCCGGCCGCAAAGGAGGCCCCTCCCTCTCTTCAAACCAGAGCAAGTGGCTTCCAAATACCAGTGGAGGCTCCCACCCCTGCGCAGTCTGACTCAGTAAGTCCTGGGCGGAGGCAGTGAACCCTGGAGACTCACCAAGGGAACCAGTCACCAGGAACCCGTTCCAAACCCTCGCCCGTCCCCAGGGTCAGCGCCTTTTGTGAAGTGAGCTGCAAAGACTATGTGGGTCAGAGTTTGCTGGTGTCCCCAAACCGGGGTAGCTCCGTCACCGGGCACTGGATTGATTCTCTGGGTTGTGGGGGCGGGGGGGCCCAGGCACCACACAGAATTCCCCACTGGGGCTTGATCAGCTAAGCTCCCCCAGCGTCATATCTAAAAGCACCCCATCTCTCTCCTCAACCTCCCCTCCTTACACACGTGCCCACCTCCACGCCCCAACTGTAGGGTTTGCGGGTGAATTCCTAGGACAGAGCGTTCTTGGGGGGACAAAGTCACAGGAAATGTGAGGTGACAGCAGGTTTTTGGCAGATATAAATAAGGTGGGAGCTGTATTTATTTACATATGTGTTAATTGACTTATTCGTTCGGTGAATGGTTCCTGAGACCCAATCTGTGCCCCTCTCTCTGCCCTGAAGAAGAGAGTCTAATTGGGGGATGAGACTGTGCTGTCACGTGCACTAGTGAAGGTGGCACAGGGCTCTGCGTGTCCCCTGAGGGGGCCCTCATTTCAGCCTCATAGTGGATGTGTGAGCCAGTGAAAGAAGCCTTTCCTGGTTAACTGATGGCTGCACGGGGTTCTGAAGGATGAATAGGAGTTTTCCTAGGACAGTGCGGCAAGGGATGACATTCTCAGTGTTGACACTGGTAGACGCAATGTGCCAGAGTCACGGAGTAGCAAATACTTAAGGACCTACTTTGTGCCAAGAGAGTTCTGAGTGCTGGCCAGACAAAGCCCCTGCCCTTGTGTCAGTGGGCGTGGCAGGAGACAGGAGATAAACAGGGAGGCACACACGTGAACAGACTCTCAGATCGTGGGAAGTGCCGTGGAGGAAAGAAAACAAAGGTGACGAGATGGAGTGACTTCGGGCAGGCAGGTGTGGTCACTCTATGGGTGGGGGGGTAGTCAGGGATGGCCTCCTGGAGGAAGAGGCAGCTGGGCTTTGACCTGAATTTCGAGAATGAGTCAGGAATGTGCAGAGGGAATACCCTGGGGAGGCTGGCGGGTCAGGTCTGTAGGGGGTGCGTCTGGCCAGAGCGTGTGACAGTGGAGTCCTGGTCATGGTGACGACTGTGACAGCAGCAAACGAGAGGGTGGCCAGACTCCACCACGG